TCCTCTTTGATAGATGAACTAATATAATATAATAATAATTCGTTTTCTCTTTGTGTGTCTGATAAGGGTATATTGATTAACCTACCCGAAAAAAACAAATTATACGAAACTAGTGAACCTCAAAGGAAATTCTCTTTCTTTCTCTCTCTCTCTCTCTCTCTCTCTCTCTCTCTCTCTCTCTCTCTCTCTCTCAAAGGATTATGGAGGTCGGCCGTCCGGAAGCCTGCACGAAGGAGGAAAATTTTTAATATTATACATTAAGTTATGAAAAATTAGTGGCTGTTTAACTTGACTTTATTTTTTTAGTTGAGCAGTATGCATTAGCGAAAGTTTTGATGTTACTTGGTGATAATAATTAATGGTTTGGCGGGAAATATATTGTGTTATAACCGGCTATCACTTATATTGATGACAAAATAATGATAAAATAATGACAAAAATAGACTAAACATATTCTAATAATAATAATTACAACACTGTCAGTAATAAGGATAGTCATATTGGTGATAATGATAATAAGTGTGAATGTGCCTGTATGTATCATATGCGCAAACATTTACGACGGATCCGTACAGTCTGGATACAAAGCTGGTTGTGCTTGTATACCAAAGTGGCTTACTACAACATCAAGTTAATATGAGAGTGTAAAATTGGGCCAGCACTACACAAACGCAGTTGGCAGGTATATTCCTTGCAACGGAATTCTTAATGTCTTGGGGCTCTAGAGTAGTTTTCTTTGACTCTCAGAGTGCTCTTCGAACACTAAATTCTTTCAAAGCAGGTGGCGATGAGAAAATTGTGAGTTGCATTAAGCGCAACTTAACTTATGCAGTAATGCGCAATTTCAACATTCATTTTGTATGGATACCATCTCATGTTGGCATAAGCAAGCATGGACACGTAGACAAATTGGCGAAGGAAGCCTGCAGCAAAGATACTGTGAACATCTTAGGATGCCTCTTGCTAGGGTTGCGCATATATTGAAAAGTTCTCATAAGGAAGAACTAGTAGCTCAGGCGAATCAGTATAGAGATAGCAAGCCTTCCTATGGGTGACCGAAGTCAAACCAGACATGTGACGTGGTTATTGCCAGAATACGTTTAGGTTATAGAATGTACTGGTAACTGCAAGGTGCAAGAAGTGCAGATGAATCTAGATGCAGATTGTGTAACGAAGAAAACAAGCGAACGCTTCAGCACTAGATCTCGGAATGTCATGTGATACAGCCTTTCAGGCCACCTAACATGGGGTATAAGATCTATGTGAATAGTTCATTTCATCTGATACATTGGAAGATATACTCGTACTATATCCGAAATTTACTGTGTAAAATTTCCGTAAGCAGATAACAATGTTGTGTAAACACAGTGGCAAAAGCAGATCAACGTAATATTTTTTGCATGATGTATGATTTATATTTTGATTTTACTACGTACAATTACAGCAGTCACAGACTACTGTAAAACTGTAATCGTGATTGCTCACGCCTGCTCACACCTGTGCAGGTAGCCAGGATGGTAAATATTCTTAACCTAACAGACGTTTTCATATGTGCACATTTTATTTATGTTTGATTTATTATGTTATGCATGTTATTTACTATACAGACCATACACACGCACGCACGCGCGCGCGCGCACACGCACACACACACACACACACACACACACACACACACACACACACACACACACACACACACACACACACACACACACACACACACACACACACACACACACATACACACACACACCACGGAACATCAGAGTAAGGAAAAGCCTGTACCGAACATGTAGCGAACCCGTGTGATTGCGCCATGTCCATCTCCGTTGGCCCCGTCTATCTGTATCTCGAGGGCATTCAGTGTAGAGCCATGGCTAAGCGAGTGCTGTTGGTCCTGGCATTGCTCAGCAGTGCGGCGGGGCTGACCGCGAGCCCGCAAGATCAGCAGCAAGTCTCTGGAATCGAGAAGGAGTCTCTGATGGGGACTATTTTCTTCAACCAGGTGGGCCTGGCGCATATGATGGAGAAACAGGCCAACACCACCGAAGGTAAACAAGAGGGCACTGTTCACTTGTTGGTGGGGGAGGGGGGGGAGGAGCTAGTTTTGCTTCGAGACTTTGAATCGGTGTTTTATGAAACCGCTGATGCTCTCGGTAATTCAAGCCTAACCAGGTAATTTCCCCCCGTTGTTATATATATATATATATATATATATATATATATATATATATATATATATATATATATATGTATATATGTATATATATATATATATATATATATATATATGTATATATATATATATATATATATATATATGTATATATATATATATATATATATATATATATATATATATATATTATATATATGTATATATATATATGTATATATATATGTATATATATATATGTATATATATATATATGTATATATATATGTATATATATATATGTATATATATATATATATGTATATATATATATATATATAT